ATGACATCTCAAAGTAATGAAATCTGACAAATTTATAATCTGATACCTCAAATTGATCTTGAATCTCGTCCAAATATCTGCAAAATTATTATTAATACACTTAATCATTCACAAGAAGAGGAAATCTTTAATAATATTCGTAAAATGCCAGAACTACAAAAGAAAAATGCGTTAAATCTAATTGAATCAATGCGAAATCCAAAAGGAAAGCATAAAAATAAAATTATTTCGGTCTATCTCCAAAATAAAGCCCTTGAATATATTACAGATAGTCGTAAAAATCCAGTTGTTTTAAAAGCTAAGAATGCGAACCTAAAATCAGAAAACCAAAAACTATTAAGGAATAATCAAAATCTATCACATAAAATTTAGTCCGTAAGTAGTTCAAATCTGTATCTCAGAAATAAAGTAGAAAAGCGAATTTCAACTATCAGGTCATTAATATGCAAATAAAAGCAGATACCTAATAAAGAATTCAAACACCAAATTAGCATATTATTTAAAACAAATAATCGAGAATATTCACCAAAAATGGTTTGGCTTTCAACAAAGATATCACAAATTGGCCAAACTTCTTTAACTGCGACTATTGAATCATTACAACTAGTTTACGAATTCTTAATCAGAGAACCCCACAAAGATGGTTATCTGCAATGACCCTAAGTACCTGGTATAAAGAAGTCTCACAAATTGAGATTGAAGCCGGAATATATAAGGCTTCACAATGTTCACGGTATGGAATCCTTGTGGATGAATCAACTCGTAGAGAAAGTAAATATTTCATTGTATGTATAATGTTCTGGGATCATAAAAAAACATTTCATCAGTAATTGTGACTAATCTTGAGGATTTACATAACTGTACTGGTCAATTAGTAGCAGACAGTACTCTCAAAGCAATTATGATCCACGGGCTTGATCCGAAAAAATGTTTAATGTGGGTAACAGATAACACAATCTATATATCGGGCAATAAGAAAGACGTAATCGTTCAGTTTAATAAGAAGGCAAATGTAGATACAGTAAGAATCGGCTGTGGAATGCATATAATGCATATTGTTTTTCAAATCTCGAAGAGGCGTTTGGCAAGTTACCTTCCTTGATTGGATTCTCATGAACACCACAACCATATAATCTCCTATATTTGGTTTGATACCTTCACGACGGATATAATTCGAGCAATAAAGGAAAATCTCTCAATATGAAGTCAGATTGGATTCAAAAACTATATGATAGATTATTAGTATATCATTTCTCCCAATATCAATTGCCAATTCAGGGTTGTTGGAGATATGAATTACTTGCTGCAAAACAATATTTAGCCTGTCATGAAGTACACATAGAATTTGCCAATTGGTTCATTAAGAAACTTGAAAATAATCGGAATACACCACCTGCATATCTTTCTGATTGGTAAATTTTTAATTACTATTCATAAACTTTTGCATGCTTATTTTAAATAGATCTATTAATAAGTTTTTTTATACTCACTAACTAGGCGTTTATTTCAGAATTGGCTCTTAAACGATAAATTAAACATTCAAGTTTAGTGTTTAGTTATATTCGGTGAGTACTTATATGAGCCTTTGATGCAATTTATGGTCAGAAGGGATCCTATACCTGGTATTCAAGAAGAAAACCATCTGGCTCAACTTCTACCTGGCTGACGTGCTCACGAAATGCCGGATAAAGTGAATGAGTGGTTAAAGTTTTTAGATGAACTCAGAGAAAATTTTGACACATTCTTTGAACAAGAACTACTAACAGCACTTGAATCGCTAAATAATGGAGACTTTAGTAAGTTCTTTGACAATTTAGAACAGGGGATGAACAAAGCATATGAAAGTTTTTTAAAATGGATGTCCCTGTGGATCCATTTACCATTATCAATCTGCAGTTTAGGTGGAAATTCAGGCCATAAATTCACCCAAGCATTCTATTATGTTGTTTTTCAACATTGGCTTGTAGAACCAACAGAGTGTGAAATAAACTTAGCACATTGATTACGCACCGATTTTGAGATAACTAATAATACTTTTGGCCTTTGGGAAGAATTATTAGGTTCTTTAGAGTTTAGGAACGAGTTTTAAAACTTTTGTCTTACCCCAACCTCTAAAATTTATGAATATCAGTTATTATATAAATTCGGTAAAGAACGAATTTACTTCATCGTAATCCACCAACAGCAGATCGAAGGGCTCTTTAATAAACTAGATTTAATGACCTATCCAAATATGATGCAAGACCTAAAGCAATCAAAATTATGACTTTCATCTGAGATATTGATGAAGAAAATATTGCTTTAGAACTTTCAAAAGTTTGTACAAACCGTAAAAAGCAATCGGTGAGATTAGTTTAAGACGGTGTGAAAATGCATGAAGAAGAAGAAGCAACTAAAATATTTTTAAATTTATATAAAATTTAAAGTCTGTCATAATCATAATGTAATAAAAAAATTTTTTATAAATACAAATACACAGTAAAAGATTTTTTATCATTATCAAATATAAAAGTCAAAATCAGTGATCATCTTTAAAAAAAAAAATCTAATAGTAATTTTTATA